GGCAGATTTCCTCTTCATCTCCTGCTTTCTTTCTTTTGTGTACTTAAAGCCCAATGCTTAATATGGAAAGCTAAGTGTGGCACATCTTTAAGTGTGGCACATCCAGTGTGTAAGCACTGGAGGAAAAATAAACAATTCAGGGATATTCGCTTGGCTTGCAATTCATTTTTTAAAATGTATATGCAGGAAACATTGGAATGGGCTCCTTAGTATGCCAGCTGTTGGTGAGATAGGATTATGGTAGAAGTGCCAGCTTCTCTGTTACCATGTTTACACCATCCTTCTCTATGGTCTTCTCTGGGAAACTACATTTCCCAGAGTTCTCTCTAGAGCATCAATCTAGGTTATAGAGCCCTCCAAAAAGAGGCACTGAAATATGATTTGGAAATCTGGGTAGAAGGAGGGCAAGGACAATATAAGTATAGCTGCAATGTGGGAACTATTTGAGAGTCACAAGTCTAGGACTTCAGATTGAGAAGAACAGGAAGATGTTCTCACAGTGTCACTCAGATATGATGAAACTTTCTAACAAGCTCTTGAGTATCATTATCTGTATTGGTGAGAATATTGTACCTTATAGCAACTATAGCCTGAGCTCTGGATAGTAACCTCTGATGCTGAACATCCTTTTACCATGCTTCTTTTTCCTCTTCCCTCCAGCACATTGTCACCACTGTCCCTACCTGCACTTAATTCATATGTCCTTTTGCAAGATGACTGTCAAGAGTTATCCTGAAATTAAGGGCATAGAACACAGTAGTTTTTCCTTGCTTTTGTCATAGAGCTGCTCCGATCAGCACCAGCAATTCTTGTTGTATCCCTCTGTTCAGTAGGAAGAATAATATTTGCCTTCTCCATTATTTAACAAGTCTTGAGAATACATGTAACACAGCATAGAAATGGTTTCCCCTAAAGATGGTCTATAAAACTGTGAATTCTACTTAAAATAATTACCAGATACAGTGACAAGTTCTGGCATAGTAAGGTGTGTCCTGTCCACATAATATATTAAAAAAAAACACTTCTGCAGCAAATATGTCACCACTCTTCAATACATGATACTCACTGAGGACACAGTGCATAGATTGCCATTAGGAAACAGCAAAAATTCCCAATAGAGTATCACATCCCTCATACTCCAAAGATATTCCTAGGTATCTGTCAGAGAGCTTTTAGGTGGACGTTTCTAAATCTATGGCTACACTGCAACTGATCTCTTTCTAAGAATCCAGTCCTCTCTCTGAGAGTATCTACCTGTTCTAGAAAAATAATTCCATCACTTGCTCCAATTCATCTTATTCTGTTCCTTACTATCAAAATACAAAGTTTACAAAGTGTAAAATTAATTATCAACTTAGAGGTTATGCTTTGTGGCTGAATGCTCTTTGGCAGTGAATCAACAGACAAAGCTCTGTCCTTCATGGGTTGAGTTTTTAGAGGTAACAGAGTTGAAATTGAGATTCGGAGTCCAGCCCTTCCATTTACTGTGCTCACCTCTAAAGAAAGAGGGGAATCCTTCTTCATGTACAATCAAATAACCACAGGGGAATTTAAAGATACTAACTCCTTCCTGGGTTTTTATGACTTCTTGTTTTTTTTTGGAATGAATATCATGCTACTTAGATTTCTGTTATTATAATAGTCACTTGAGATAGACAACTTAGAAAGAGAAGACATTCATTTTGGCTCACACTTTTGAAGGTTTCAGTCCATTGTACATCAGCCCACTACTTTGCGGCTTGAGCAAGGCAGTACATCATGGCTGAAGAGTGTATGGGAGAAACATTCAATTCATGGCCTGGAAAGGAAGAGGACAGGCTGCATCCTCATATCTGTTCCAAGTGCATGACCCCAATAACCTTAAGTCCTCTCACTGGTCTACCTTTTAAATGTCCACAATCTTGCAACAGTCCTATGAGCTGGGAACTACTCCTCCAACATATAGGCTTCGTGAGGCAATTATCTAAACCGTAGTAAACATACATTGAGCTTCAGATAACTAGGAGGCCCTGCCAGGCACCATGAATATGATTGTGAACAAATAAATACAATCCTCCCCATTCTGCTTAAAAATTTATAGCATGTCTCAGAAGACAGGAATACAGCCGACTAACCTAATATGAACGTGTAAGGTGGATCAGAGACATTCTCTTTGGAGCTGTGATATTTAAGTTGATACCTGTAGTATGAGCAGGAGGGAGTGATGGGAAAGAGTAACTAGACTTAAAACCAGCTCTCATGCGCTTTTATTTATGAAGACTGTAAGATATATAAACCTGATCTCTATCACACAAAGCAGAAAATGAACAATTGAATTGAGGAGGTAGAAACAAATGTAAGTACTCTCAAAAAGAGCAAAAACCAGGAGATGCAGCTCTGGGGCACAGTGCCTACCTGGAAGCATAAGGTCATGAGTTTGATTCCCAGTAAAAACAAAACAAACAAACAGACAAACAAAAAGGGCAAAACCAATACAGCGCAGATCTGGGTAAGTTTCCTTCAGGAAGCTGGAAATTCTATGCACAAGCACGTGTGTATTGAATGGAATACCTGAAAGTACAAATGAAAAGCTGAGCTCTTTGTTTCCTGATCATTATTCTAAGTCCAGTCTTCCTTTGCATTTGAATCTATATTCCTCAGGACACGAATCTTGGGTCTATCACACTCGACATTGGAAGTTACATAAAAGGACAAGGAAAAATGTGATGGGATAGAAAAATAGCAATTTGCACGTGAACTACTGCCCACCAGTTTTTGTAGTTGTTGGTGCGGAAGGAAAAGAGATTGGGAACTAGGTAAATCAAAAATTATTTTCAAATAGAAGTCCCAGTTAGGACTTTATATATCAACTTTCAGCTTTCATGGAGGGTTGGACATGAGAGAATTGATGTCACTTGACTTCACACCATGAGGGACCTTTGGTTCCTTTCTGCAGAAATGTTTGCAAGCTATTTCCATGAAGATATTAACAAATGGCATCCATGCAGTTTAGTGAATTTATATAATCGTAAATTAGGAATAATTTCCTTAAATATAAAAAGCAACATGGAGCTAGGTGCTCTCATTCTGGGTATCAGAAAAATGGCTTTCCTGTTTGTTAGTGTATGATTCGTGCCAAGATGAAAAGTTTTCCTTTCATAGATGAGTCTCTTCCTTTCATAGATGAATCTAGCTGTAATGCCAACTTAATGAACTTCTTTGGCTCTTTAATTGCCTGCTCACAATCACTGGTCCAGAAAACACTGTTTCATGGTATAGACTTATTTTTTTTCAGCATCTAAATCTTTCATGCTGACTAAGCAATCAATGAGTCAAACAGGTGCAGAGACATATTTCAGTACAAGTGATGTGTCTGTCATTGGCTCCCTTTAAGTGACATTCTTGCATTTTTCCCATTTATGTTAGGCTATGACATCCTCCAAGAGCACCAATTTGTACTTTATCTTAGGTATTTTTTTTCATATTGTATTTCATATTTTGCCCTTTCAAGGGGCAAAATTTCTGATAAAATGGTAGGTAATATATATCCTATTCCTATTGACTTTCATTCATTTGATCACATCCTCTCATTGTAAAATCTCAGCTTCACGGCCTGATAAAACTCTTATAAAGTAGACTTGAGATTTCTGAGCTTTCGGTTCCCAAGCAAGATACTTAATAGACTATGAAGGAAAATTACTTTTACCCAAATATAAGAAGTCAATAAAGAAACTCACAAGGATCTGATGCTAATTTGAGAATTAACGCATTACTGTTGGGGGAACCCCCACAAAGCAGTCTATAAAGGGACATGCACAAGACCCTCCCAAGGGCATTCGGTGATGGAGAACTATTGATGCCCTCTCTCAACAAAGCATACTGGCAGTTACTTCTTCCATTTGACTCTGAGGAAAACTGATTTTCACAAAATCGCAAGTAAATTCTAATTACACTTAAGAATGTTTAAATGTAGAAAATTTCCATTGATGCCCCAATATCAAACAGTCATCATAAGTTCAATTATAGACTCCTGGAATCTCCATGACTAATCTCTCATCTTTATGTCCCACTCCACGAAGCCTGCAAGTCATCTCTGAGGTCCAGTTCCACACGTTCTGAACACCTTTTCAGCCTTTGCTCTGACCCAGGCATGCAGGGTAGCTGGGATGACAACACTGTGGCTGTCCTTATTCAGCGTCCCCTTGTGGGCAAAGGGAATTTTCTTCCGAAGGAAATAATGTATTTAAAATCTGTGATGCCCTCAATCTAAGGCTGTTCTTACTTAACCCTGGAAGAGTCATATAGTTCCAAATATAACCAGGATAAAACAGGGTAAACAAATTAGACCACATGACTTGCTCTTACCCTCGACAGTTCCAACTCGGGCAGTTGCATAGACCTTGCTGGAACAAGAAGCTAGGAATAAGGCATTTTCAAATGATACTCTTTGTCAGTACTCTGCCTGCCTTTGAAACTGAAGACTGGAGAAACGGCAAGGGGAATTCAGGGTTTGGAAGAACTGGGTAAACCAAATTAATGTGTTGAGGATCAGAGAATTCAGCAAAAACTACACATGAATTCTCTCGAATGTTGCCAACCAAACTGAAATTTGACTGAGCTGTAACACAGAGTTCATTTACTTTGAAATTATATATTTCAGCTATTATGTTCCCAAACAATCATAATTTTACAAATATTAGTGAGTTTCCCAATTTCTTTCCATTATTATTCCTGGAGGGAATGCTCTCCTTAGTAATTTTTAAGTATACTATCCCTCTTTTTGTAACAAAAAAAAATCATGAATTATATTATGCACTAGGTTTATAGGCCTCTCATTAGATTGCTAATACATTCTGGTTAACATCAGTGGATTTGACAGGTGTGGTTTTCTCATCAAGAACTTAAAAAGCACTGTGTTCCTTCTAAAGTGCTCAAGCAGCAAGTAAGGAGCCCAGAGCTCTGCGTGCATGGCCAAGGGTCCCTCCCACAGCCAGTAAGAGCGATAAAAACTGAATTCTCACCTCGGTGACTGGTGAGTTCTCTGGAAGCAGAAGGCAGGGGTGTGTACTGGTGCTCCTGAGAGTCAGCAATGTCCACATTGGAAGGCTGCATGATAAAAGCAAATGTCAGCAGAAGCAACACCAAACGCTAAACACCTTTGTTTACCAAAAATGTCTCCTTGAGATCTGAGTCTGGAGAAAATATTATCTACAGAGATTTCCTAGGAAGCCAGAGGTGTCTTTGAGGGAACAGATTTCTGGTAAGCACAGGGGAGGGCACAGAGCTTTGAGGGGCCTCAGCACAAGCAAATGGTTCTGAGACATGGAGATGGTCTGCTTTTGTGATGACCTGAAAGGACCTGAAGGAGGAAAAGTAAAGGAAACAGAGGAAATGGAATAGACTTCAAAGTTTCTATCCCAGGCCCTCTCCCAGTAATTCCCACAAAGCAAATGCTGTCTGCGAGCAGATTTCTATGGAAACGAATGGAGAGGCTAAGCCCTGCCCCAGGGTGGATGAGGAAAAACAGGGCTTATAGGGGCACAGTGGCATGGAGTCAGAGGGAAGTCAGAGCTGCAAGACTCTGCAGCATGAAATTGCCAAAGGGAAGGACATAAATTGTCACCAGTTGTGCAACTGAACTTCTGGCTAAGTTAACAGGAGCACTGAGAAATCCATCTGAAACTTGGATTTTTACAAAGGCTTAGAACCAGGGTGTTTTGGCTTTGTTATTTTTTGGATTATGAAATATCCATATATACATAATGAGGAACATTGAGATGGTGCTCAAGCCTGAATATGAAATGCATTCATGTTCCCTCTATACCTGGTCCACAAGCCTGAAGGAACTTTATGCAATATTTTTAGTATGCCTGCATTTGGACTGTAACACATCACATGAACTTTCCACTTGTGGCATCACGTTGGCACTTCACGTTTGGGATTTTGTAATATGTTGGATTCGGGATTTTCAGATTAAGGATGCTCAACTTGTACAGTGTCCATCAGCAAAACATTGTCACTCCAAGGCCTTAAGAGAAAAGAATGATACTGCTTTACTGTACACAAACATTTCTTTCACTACAGAACTGTATGTAGTATGGCCCAGGATGTTAACGCTCTCTCTTGAACAATATGTTCTTGTGGGCTAAAGCAGGAAGAAAGTACTGCACTATGGGATTGGGGGTAACACAGTGCCAGTCACCAATATGCCACATTCAAAGCATGGGTGCTTATAGCACAAATATCACCACTGTAATACTCAACCGAGATTTCTAAATCAAATGCAACTTTTTTTTTTAATATCCAAAAAGAACATCTGTGAGGATCAAAATCCTAAGCTTACAACCTTTCCAGGCTCCATGAAAAAGTAAATTTCATTAATGCTACATTTTTCTTTCCGGAATAGGAAATGCGTTCTATGGGATATATTTGCCCTGCTAGAAGCAGGCCTTTTCTCCAAAGAGATTACCTACATTATGGGAATCAAAACTAAGTAGGAGATTAGACCTACTAGCTAGAAAAATCCTTTAAACTTAATTTCTGACATTTGAGATGTTTGATTAAGCAACTTTCAGTGGAGACTTATAGAAAGAGTTCTGAGTGGAGTAAACCCAAAAGCTCTGTCCCTAGGTAGAAACAGACTTTTAAGGGAGCATTTCTTCACTGCAGCTCAAAGGCAAATTTAAGACAAATATATGATATTTAAAATTTGATCCAAGAGTTTGGGCTCCAGAAAGATAAAAGCTCGTCACCAAGAAAAGTGTTTTTAAAAAATAGATAAGACTCGTTATATTTATCATTAGATTTTTAGGGAGCTGCAAAAATACGGAGGAGTCACAACTTGGATTAAAATTTAAGAACAATAGTCACCACTATCTCTCTGTTTGGTGCCGGAGATCTTCTATGATCTCTGCATGATGAGGGAAACACAATCAATATAACACTTTCTCAGTGCTTGATGCAGGACACATGGGTCATTTCAAAGACCTACCATGATTTCTCCATACAACGCCATAGCTTTTCTCTAATATTTTTGCTCTATCTTATCCTTTAAAAGCAAACCTAAAATCCAGAATGCTATACTGTGGTGTTCCTTGGCACTTTAATGTCCATTTGGGCCATGGACAATTTAATGACAGCTTTTCCCTAAAACTTCTAGAAGAAACACTACCTTTTCCCAAGTACCTCTGATCGTACGAAACATTATAGTTCTGCAACCAAGACTAAAAGGACTAGATTTGTTTCCAAGTGTAGGCAAAACAAACTGGTGTGGCCTGAGTTGTCTTGCAGCCCTTGTTCCAAGCCCAGGAACTAAATTACTTTTCTGTTTACCACTCATTTATAAACTCAAGTCACGGGAAAGAACTAGAGAAAGGGGAACTTTGCAAACGGTGCCTTTTGCTGGGACTTTTGTGGCTCAAGGTTTAGGAAAACAACTACAAATCAAGATTCCAAATCCTTTTTGATATGGATTTTATCAAAAAGAAGCCTCTTTGATCTTGTTTCTAATATTATGCTGAGGAGCACAATTCAGAGAAGCATAATTATGATGTAAAAGAGGTGGACAAGATATCTTAAATTTGTGCACTGTCTATTAAAGAATAAAGAACTCACCCTGACACTGAAGCAGTATACCCACAGCATTCTGAATATAAGATAATAGAAGCATCAGCAGGAAAATCTGCATAATGCTTTCTTTTACCTGAGTTAGGAAAAGATGCCTAAAACAAGCAAAAGGGAATTTGGGCAAATCTGAATCTTAGGAACTATAAAGACTCTTCCAAACTTTAAATTCTTGCCAATTTTCCTAGCTGCCCTCGGCAAGGATTCATACTTCACTTATTTTTATCTCCTGTTATAAGACATTTGCCACCTTTACACTAAAATACTAGTATCCAGGATGCATGAATAACGTTTGAAAGTCAATAGGAAATATAATTGATAAAATAAAGGAAATGTCAGGAATTTCAAGAAGTAAAAACCGTAAGTCAGGAAACACAAGAAAAGATGGTCAAATTTGATAGTACTAAAGGCAATAGAAATTAAAACGAGGTATAATATTTTCACTCATCTTACTGGCAAACTGTTAAGTCTCATAATAGAAAGTGCCAGTGGGGATTCAGGGAAATGAAGGTGTTACCTTCTCATCCCTTGCCAGTGGGACCATGCATGGGTTCAACTACCTTGGAGAGTAATTTAGTAGCACCTAATAAAATTGAAAATTGGTGCAGCAATTTCATTTAAAATATATATACTATGGAAAATTTCACGCAGGTCTGCAAGTTTGAGACATAAAACCATGTTTATTGCAGCATTATTTATAACAGAAAAAACTGGAAATAACTTAAGTGTCTGTCAATGAGGAAAATGGATAAATAAAATGCCATCTATTCACATGACAGAATAATATTTAGCATTTAAGAGCAATAAACCTGATTTATATATCTCAATTGGAATTGGTTTAAAATTTATACAGAGTGAAAATGCAAGTTGCCAAGTGATAAATGTAGTGTGATACCATTTGTGTAAAGACATAGTTCTTTGATTTCATATGTGTATGGATACAGGTTAAAATTATCAAAGAAATGCTCTAAATTTATTTTTTAAAATTTCTTTGCCAAGGGCAGGGTGATGGGATGGGAGCTAATGGGATGTGAAGGACCGTCAGTTTTATAAATGATGATGATTTCTTTTGTTTAAGGGGCAGACTTGATGCAAAATATTAAAAAGCCCACAATTTGGATGGCACTTATAAGGGTTCACAATTTCTCCAACTTTTCTACATTTTGGAAATTTCTTGAAATTAGCCATGAAAATTGAAGAGGCAGTGCCTCTCATCACATCTCTGATCCCTGAAGTCCTGATTGATACGAGTCGATAATAAGAGGAAATTTCCTCTAATGGTTCTCTAGTACTTGCATAACATGGATTAATGCCATCTCTGGTTGGATTTTGGTGATGAAAATATCTCCTTTCTGCTTCTTCTAAAGCCACTGAGTGTGATCCATGGAACGGAAAAAACTGATAATGGGTAAATATGCATCTGCCGGATGCCAAGACTTGAAGTATTCCTTCCATCCGTGTAAGTCCTTTGGCTGAGCATTTGCCAAAGCATACTGAAGACTCCTTGATTCTTCTCCCATTCACAAATGGAGGATTGCTAATAATTTTTTCAACCCCCATCAATCACAGTAATAGTCCCTAATATACTGCACTCTGCAATTTCCATAATGCAAGGAGGAAGAGAGAACTTTGGCAACTCTATTGGAAAAGATTCAGTGAAAGTCCAGTCTCCACGAGAGACGTGCAGAGTGAGAACTTCACTCAGCGATCACAGAAAACAAGTTTCTTCAGACAAATGTCTAAAACCCAAGGCTCTTCCCCGTGGGCACAAGCCATGAAAACAGCAGCCCAGAGGATATTTGTGAACATCATGGATGCACAAAGGAATACGATACAGACCACAGGAAGAGAGAGTTGGCAGGCTTCAAAACAAGAAGGGGGAAGCTACAAAGTTATTTAATAGCCATAAATCTCCCACTATTTTTCACAAAATACCATCTATGACCACAGCTCCCCAACTCATTCTCCATCACTCAGCTCAAGTGGAACACTTTGGCATGCTCACTCACCCTTAAATCATGCACTGCATAAAGTGATCCCAGGTCTGGGAAATTTGTCAGCCTCTTTCAAGTAAAAGCAATCTTTACTTTTCATCACAATTCATTCCCTGAAACCATGGCATCAAGCTGACTCTTCTAAAAACATTTATTTTTTTCTCTCCAGAAGAAAACACATCAGTCATTCAGCTATCACATATTTAGTAACCACCTAGGACATGCCAAGCCCTGTACTGAGAATATCAACACAGAAAATGCAGACCTGGTTACATTCCTGAGGCATCAAAAATAATAATCGGACAATAATTAATGCTGATTAGAAAGAGTCATCAAAACGTGACATTATTTTCATATCCTGAATCAACACAGAATGTTGTCCCTGCCCTCTGTTTTGACATCTGGACGGTAGTAAGGGTAATTATGTCGTTACTTATTTTTCATTCATACTAATGGAGAGATTTTGGAATTAACTGCATTAACCTTCTG